TCCTGATTGGCAGAGCTATTGGGTTTTGGCTGTATAGTAATATCAGTATCACTTTTTCCTAAAATATGTTCAAGTAGCATCCATGCTTTTTCCTTTTGTTGAAGGCGGTAAGTACCAGTGTCTCAGGTAAGCCTTGTTGAGAGCAAATGGGCATCCAAAGAAAGATGGGACCGAGGAGCGCTGTCCTTTTGGAGATAGCTGCTTTACTCTTGTAGATTTGGCCCCTCTACTCATTTAAATGAATATTTTATCTTAGAAATGATACTTTGCATTTATCATGTTAAGAATCTACTTCTGAGAAAAGCCAGAGCCACCACTGTTAGGCTTGATTGTTCTTGACATACTTCTTTGGAAGAGAGCTGGGGGCAAGGGATAGCATCCTTTTGAAGATATATGACAGGCATTGAGAAGAGGGGACAGGAGATGGTACTCATGCAGTCTAAGCATAAACTCCCCCCGTCACTGCCATTAGGCCTGTTGGTGAGGGTGGATTTGTCTCTGGGTACGTAGTATGGCACGTTCTCAAGAGCATCTGGTAAGTGAGCAGTGGGGGAAATGCGAAGTCTTCAGCAGAGAACGACTTTGCCCCCTTTCTTATTCTTGAGAACATGACTGAGCTGCTGGGGTTACACGAGAAATGTTGTCCTAGGAAACAAAAGGGTTGTAGCCCTCATTCTGGCTCTAAGCCCCGTAGCAAAGCCTGTTGGCTTTGAGCCAGTATCATCTGTGAAATGGGAACCATGATACCTACCCTCACTGCCTCAGATGTGTTCTAAGCTTGTGCCAGACGATGGACACTTAAATATTATCTAGGAGCACTGCCCTGCAGAAACAAGAAGTTGAATATGAAGTGGAATGTCCACATTTCCTAGAATCACGACATCTTCAGCAGTTGTGATCCATTTGATTGTTACTTAGTACTCCTTTCAATTTGATAGGATTTTGCTTAAAAAAAAAAAAAAAAGAAAAAAAGCAGCTTTCATTGTAGCCAAGCAATGGATGGAAGAACCCAGTTACCTCTAATAATAGACAGTGAGCTGTTCGTTCAGGGGACCTAGAAGGTCAGATTAGGGTAGAGGTGGAAGTTACCCATGGCCAGTTAGGCTGTTGAATGTTGCTGTTGCTAGATATTAGTCAAACTGTTGGGTTTAACCACAAAGGTTTACTTCACAGCTGTGGCAAAGCCCCATTATGTAAGCCAACACCTCTTCACAGTAAGATATCAGAATCTGCTCCCAGTTCATCTTTTTTTTTTTGGAGAATGAGTCTCACTCTTGTCACCCAGGCTAGAGTGCAGTGGCATGATCTCAGCTCACTACAGCCTCCGCCTTCCAGGTTCAAGTGATTCTCCCACCTCAGCCTTTCGGGTAGCTGGGATTATAGGCATGCACCACCACGCCCAGCTAATTTGTATATTTTTAGTAGAGACAG